GGCGCCTGGCGCACTGACGGGGGCCGCGCTGGAGGGCGCACTGGCGGGAAGGCCCAGGGCGTGCGACTACACCGGTGCCACCGCTCGGCGTCGTGCTCCCAGGTAGCGCCAGGTAACTATAGGCCACGGCCGGCGCGTCCCACCCCCCTTAAGGATGGTTGTTGCCTGGTGCAGAGGCCGTCCTGAAGGGGCCGGCGCTGAGCGTTGGTGGTACGCGCCGGCACCGATTCAAAGTGCTCGGCGGCAAAGACCCGCGGTCCGCCGTGGGAGGGAGGAGGGGGGAGGGAGGAGGCAGGAGGGAGGAGGGAGGAGGAGGGAGGAGGAGGGAGGAGGAGGGAGAAGGAGGGAAGAGGAGGGAGGAGGAGGGAGGAGGAGGAGGAGGAGGAGGAGGAGGAGATCCCCGACCTCTCCTCCGTTCGCAACTCGGCGAGGCATGAGCCGGGACGAGGTGGGCCACCGCTCGGCGGAGGTGCTGGTACTGCTGCTGCGGCTGCGGCAGCTGTGCTGCTCGCCAACGCTGCTTCCCGCGGGGCTGCTCGCAGAGCTGCAGAAGGACCCAGAGGGGTATAGTCAAGACGCTGAAGTAAGGACCTCTTTGGGCTCGGAGCTCGGGTGGTCGGGTCGTTCCTTAAATCTTCACTGGGGGGACTTGTTTGTGACCGAGGTTCGCCGTGGCCAGAAAAGCCCCTGCCTTCCTTATTTTACGCTCTTTCGGTAGCACGATGGCTGTTTCGCACCAGATTCGCCCTCCCCGTCCAGGGCGCTCCACGAATGGCCTCGCCACTGGCGCACCTCGCCTTCAATCGGAGACTGGTGGGAGGCCCCTCGGACGTGAGTCGGCTGCGGCGCTGGCGGAGCGCCGGCGGCAGAAGTGAGAGTGAAATGAGCCCGCATGCCGGGCGACGGAATCTATACATATCCACTGCCCCCTGGCCCGGCCATTCCTGGGCCCAGGAGCTGTGTGCACGCCTTCCTAGCCAAGCCAGGAGGGCGTGGCGTATGCACCGCTGCTGGGTTCGGGATGGGCCTGGCCAGGGAGCAATGGGTATGTGTAAATTTCGTCGCCCGTGCAGAGGGGGGTAGGGGGAAGGGGGGAAGGCTTCTCAGAAGCACCCCTGCTTCTTAGAAGGCGCGGGCCTTGTCTGTAAATGTAGGACCGGCGCCTTCTGAGAAGCAGCCTCCTTCTAAGATGCATCCCCCCTCCCCCGTTATACCCCTTTTTGCGCGCCGCCCAGGTCAGAGTGAGTTGAGCCGGCAGTCTCTCCGCCTTGGCCTCGCGGTCGGCGCATCTCGCGTGCGGCTAGAGCTGGCGGCATGCCAGCGGAGGCGCAGCCAGGGCGCCGGAGCAGGGACCTCTTTCGGGCTCAGGAGGGGCTCCGCTTTCGGGCCGCTCCTGAAGTCGAGGTCGGGGAATCTATTCGCGGGCGTTGCCAGAAAAGCCCCTTCCTTCCTCATTCGGCGTTACTTCGGCGTCACCCCGACATATTTATACTGTGTGTGTGCGTCGCCCCCCCCCCCCCACCACCCCCCCAGGGGCGACACGCGCGCGGAGAAACCTTGTAGTATAAGCTCCGTGGCGGGCGCCTTCTGGCCATACCGCTCGGGTAATTCTATAATGCAAGATCGTTATACTGTATGTTCGGGTGGGACGCGCGCCTCCGAGGAGGCCACATAGTACTGGTATGTCTTTGTGCGTCCCATTCCTCCTGGAAGCACAATGGTTGTCAATGGGCGACGGCTCCGCTGGTGGAGGGCCGTCAGAAGTAAAGGTGACGGTTGTGTGAGCAGCTTTCCTATGTTGCGGTTCCAGGGTCGGCCATGTTCCCACCTCACCTTCCCGTCCTCCTCCTCCTCTTCCTCCTCCTCCTCCTCCTCCTCCTCTTCCTCCTCCTCTTCCTCGTCTTCCTCCTACTCCTTCCTCCTCCTCCTCCTCCTCCTCCTCCTCGTCCTATCGCTTCCCTTCCTCCCCCTCCTCCCTCCTCCCACCTCTCCCTCCCTCCTCCTACCTCTCCATCCCTCCTCCCACCTCTCCCTCACCCTCCCTCTGCACTCCCCTTTCTGCTGATCCCTCCTCCTCCCCTCCTTGGTTATCGCTCTCCCCATCCCCATCGCCCTCCCCCTCCTGTGTGTATCGCATCACGGCCCAGCGCAATGCTGGAGATGCAGGGGAGTTCCTGGCACCGCTGCGATCTCTCTCTCTCTCTCTATCTCTCTCTCTCCATCTCCCTGTCTTCCTCCCTCCTCATCCTCGCCCCCGCCACTCTCGTCTTGCGCTCCCCTTCCTCGTCCTCCCCTTCCTCCTCCCCCCCTCCAGGCACGGGAGGAGGAGGAGAGAGGGAGGGCGGAGCGTCAGAGGACCCCGCAGGAAACGCCCGACCTGTCGGGCTTCTTCGCGGCGGCCAAGGGCGGCCCCGGCGTCGCCGACCTCCAGGCGCTGCTCCGGGAGCTGGCCTCCCAGGCGGACCACCACTGCGCCATCTGCCTGTCGCACGTGTCGGAGGCGCCGCCCCGAGCGCCGAGCAGAGGCTGGGCGAGAGGACGCTGCGGCGGGGAGCAGGGAGGAGGAGGAGGAGGAGGAGGAGGAGGAGGAGGAGGAGGAGGAGGAGGAGGGAGCAGGGAGGAGGAGGCAGGGAGGAGGAGGAGGAGGCGGAGGAGGAGGAGGAGGAGGAGGAGGAGGAGGAGGAGGAGGAGGGAGTGAGAATAGTAGGCCCCTGGTACGACTTCAGACATCTCTTGAGGCTTCCTGCGTCGCCACCGCCGGATAGGGCAGAGTGCCCTAGCTGCTACTTTTTATAGCCACGGAATCGTAAACATACTGTGGCTCAAGGCGAGAAAAGCCCGCTTTGGTAGCGGAGCTATCAAGCTTCGCGGGCCACCCTCCGGTCGGCCGGCCCTCCGCGCGGCCAGCGCCGCGCGTGCCCGCGCCTCCGCAGGCAGAGACGACTACTGCAAGTACTAGTGCGCGCTGGACGACCAGTGCGCGAAGTCCCGCGTGTACGCGGGGTACCACGACGACGACTTCCTCCAAGAGTGCAACGAGTACCGCGGGCACGCGAAGTACCACCAGCACATCGAGGAGGCACAGGCGGTCACGCCTGATCTACGGCACTGTTTTCTACTACTTGTACTTTGTTTTTTGTGGCGCCGACATGGCGCACCAGCAGCAAGGCGGCGACAGACATCAAGGCACGCTTCAGCTCGAGGAGTTCACGAAGTTCGTTCCACCGGGCTGGCGCCCGCACATCAGAGGTTACACGTTCCGACGATATATGCAGAAGCTGAAGCTGTGGTGGAGGATCACCGAGGAGAATCAATATGAACGGATCGGCCCGCTGATAGTCTCACGACTTCAGGGGGCGCCCTTCACCGCAGCCATGTCATTCACTCATGTACGAGACGGAGTTCAGTATCGAGGAGATGAAGCTATCGCTCTGCCGGCACAGTTGGCCAATCCTCCCCATCAGCAAGAAGATCAACCAGGCATCAAGCACTTTCTGAATCAGCAGAAGGCAATATATGAATTACATGATCAAGACCGAGTTGGTATTGTATTAGATTCATTCTTCGAGTGCCGTAGAGGACATCATCAAGATATTCCGACATGGATCTCATCGTTTGAGCTGGCATTCGAAGACGCATGCGAGGAAGGCGGTTTGGTGATGAATGACACAGGCCGCAGTCATTTCTTGCTGAAGAATAGTGGTTTATCAGATAAGAGGCTCGATGACTTGAAACTGCACGTGGCAGGTGATTTGTCTCAATATCGAGTATTGCAGGGCCTGATGATGAGGCTCGGCAAGCAGGGCCAGGTTGGTCAACACAACGAGTGGGCCTGGTACGGTGAACAAGGAAATGGAGCCGATCCAGACGACATGGAGGAGACCTGGTATGAGGCCTACAACGACGAGCAATACGAATGGGGCTATGACCAGGACTTCGGCTGGACGGCTACGGCAGATGGCGAATGGTACTTCCAAGAATACGATGACATCTGGGCCAAATATGATGACAGCGGTGAGATGACGGAGTACTACGAGGCAGAGCAAGACGACAACGACACCTACTACGGTGGCAAAGGATGTGGCAAAGGCAAGCGTGGCAAGAACAAAGGTAAAGGTCGAGGACGAGGCGGATTTAGACGGCGTTTTCCTTTGAAAGGCAAGGGACGTGGCAAAGGCAAAGGTCACAGCAGCAGCGGCAACGATCGTATGAGCGGTGCAGGTCAGCGACACGACGGATGTGATATATGTGGAAGCAAATGGCATGATCGAGCTCACTGCCCCGCCAAGGATCGACAGCAACAGCAACAGCCGCAGCAGCCGCAGCAGAGCTCGACCTCGACGAAAGGCAAAGGTAAAGGTGGACGCAGCCGTCACTATGCAAACGTTGTCGGTCTCTCTACCTCAGACGCAACGGCAACACAGACATCCGCAGGATCGAGCTCGGCGGCACCACATATGACAACGAGGCCGCCTGGCTCTTGGATCAATGTTGCTACTCCGACTACCTCGACGGCAAGCACCATGCCTGTGGAGCGATATCACATGGCCACCGGTTCCGAGTGTGCAGTACCAGAAGGTGACTCGTATCAGATCGACGCGGACGAGCCCTCTGACTGGTACACGCAGGCACCAACACCAGAACGGCAGCGACCGGTTCGACCACCCATACTGGGTTCAGCCTCTCCTTTTCCGGATGATCGAGTCAGCCGAACGCCTCTGAGGTCGGTGCTTCGTGACACGACGGCATCATCATCGGCAGGCGAGGCTCCAGTTTTGACGCTGGCCCAGAAGTTGTCCAAGCAGTACGCCCTGGTGGTCATGAAGAACCAGGTGAGCATCACAGGTGGCACTGACAGGAATCACCAGATGAGCTCCTCAGACGACGATGACACGATGAACGAATCTATTCAATCATTCAAGATATCTGGTTGTCAGCAGACATTGCTTGCAAAGGCAGATCAATCACTTCAATTGCTTGGTTGTCCGCAGATGCCAGCATGTGATGATCAGCGACACAGCTCATTCCTGGAAGGTAAGAACGGCAATGATGACCCCATACGCGATACTGCATACAGTGAAAGGCAAGCCTCGACATGGATTGATCGTTGATCCAGGAGCAGCTGAAGGTCTACTTGGCACGGAGACGTTGTTGGAATGGAATATGGACTTGTATCAGCCTGAAGGCATCTCCTACAACATCCGGTCTTCACAGGCAACCTTCACGGGCATCAACGGTCAAGCCGACCCCTCATGTGGCGAATTTCTCGGACCGATCTGGGTCGAAGGCATGGCGAAGGGCACCACCTACCAGGCGGACATGATAGGCGGTCCTGGCGCAAGGTGCCCGGGCATCCTGCCCAACAGCACCATGATCAAGCAAAAGTGCATCCTGTTCGAGAACATGTATCGCAATGGTGATGGCATCCTGGCGTTCGTACCTGACGATAAAGTCTCTACGATGGCTCGAGTATTGCTGACAGATTCTGGGCACTATCTTCTACCGATCGACGTGTTCAAGCCTCAGTCAGAGCAAGTGGTAGAGGAGATGGTCAGCCTGATCGAGGAAAGGATATCTAAGTTATTCTCAGCTTTTGATCATCGCCGGAAGCCCAAGGTTCAGCTACACACGGCCAGTCAACCACAATGCCCCGAAGCGCAGAATCAGAGTGAGATAAGTAAGCTGGCAGCACCTTCGACGACACCGCCATCGAGACAGACATATGGATCTTATCAGAACAAGGACGCCACAGAATTCTATGATGTTTGGAGACAGTTCGGCAGCAACAGATACTCTCAAAATGAATGGCCAAGTAACTTCGAACATGCAGATTGTCATCGAATGGATCGAGAGTACGAGTTCATGGACGAGAAGTTTTATACGACATCTCGGTTACCGATGATTCGACCAGAACACGTTCGAGATTTCATTCAGCATATGCGTTCAGTAGCTCACAAGACGAGTCTGATGGTGGAAGTCTTTTCAGGTACCTCTGGAGTCTCTTGTGCAGCCTATCGGAATCACCTGATAACGTTACCACCAATCGACTATCGCTATGGCTGGGATCTACATCGACCAGACCATCAGCAGCTGCTACTTGAACTACACGAAGCCTTTGTGCCATTATTTTCACTAATGGAGTTCTACTGTCGACCCTGGTCTCAATCAAATAACAACGCGGAGCCTGTTGAGTTGGAAAGCAGGCGAGACTACGAACGACCGATATTGACATGGACAGCTCAGACGTATGCGCCCGCACTGGAGCGCAGAGGAAGTCAGCTTATCATGGAGAACCCATCTCGATCAGCTATCTGGAAGCAGTCTGATCTTCGTCTGATCCCAGACATCCTGATGCGCGAGATGCATGACAACATTACTGACCAGTGCGCGCATGGAGCTTGGAGTGTGGATCTGAAGTTGCCGATTCGCAAGAGGACCTTCTTCCGAAGTTCGACGCGGCTGCGAAGCACATCCAGATCCTGCAAATGCACAACACCACATGCGGAGCTGCAAGGCACCGACGACAAGGGTCGCAAGCGAACGGCTTTGGCAGCAGTTTATCCAGTTGGGTTGTGCCGATCATTGGTCAAGGACATGGTCAAGCACATGCACTCCTGCCGGACACAGGCTTACTGGATATGCAAACGCTGTCAGCATGGTGCAGGTTCTGGGGTACCACACACACGAGAGGACGGTTGCAGATTCAAGCCGGTCCCTGGACCAGGAGCAGCTCCCGCTGCAGCAGCACCTCAGGCAGCAGCAGCACAGGTTGGAGAGCCAGCACCTCCTCCAGCACCGGCACCAGCAGACGAGCAAGCACCAGCACCAGCACCAGAACCACCAGCAGCAGATCCGATTCCACCGCCTCCAATGCCAGTGGCATCACGACCGACGACATCGGCATCAAAGGTCACGATCATCAAGCCTTCATTCGACCTTGGCAAGCTAGCTCAGAAGGTGACACAGGCTGCCTCGGACGAAGAACGCATCAAGCTGCTCATGGGCCTTCACTACAAGTTCTTTCACCCTCCAGACTTTGAGATCGAGAGGATGATTCGAGCTCTTGGACTACCTGCACCTATTCGAGAGCTATGCAAAGGTCTGGCCGAGCACTGCGAAACCTGCTTGCAGCGACAGCGAGCTATGAACAAGCCGAGTATCAAGATGACCATCGCAGTTCGTTTCAATGAGCGCGTCCAAGCAGATCTGTTCTTCGTATTCGAGAAGACTTGGCTGATGATGATCGACGAATGCATCAGGTACCGCATCGCATGCCATTTAGCTACCAAGCAGGGCAAGGACGTTCTACGTGCAATGCTTGGTCACTGGATTCGGTATTTCGGGCCGATGGACAACCTGGTGATGGATCAAGAAGGCGGTATGACAAATGACAACGTGGCGCTGGTGGCAGACAGATACAATCTACGGCTGATATTTGGTGGAGCTGACGGACACACCACCACAGGCCTGGCAGAGCGAGCGATTCAGACCTTGAAGCTG